CACTAGTCACTACTAATTAACTAACTATTAGAGTCTAAACATAACTAGTCACTCCCATATTCTCGCTCGCTAGCTCTACTTTTATACAGTTCCCAGGCTCCTCTTTCAAAACCAAAACAGAAATAAATGTGCATTTGTTGTGTGTGAAAGTCATTGCAGTACTAAGTAGTCTAGTCAGTTTCAGGTCTTCAGGTGTCACAGAGTGGTCAACTATTGCTTCATCCACTTCTTTTTTTTCTCTCACTGCCGCAGCTACCCAGGTCAATCAATCAGCGTTTCTGTTCCAGCTCATTAGCTCCTAAAAAGCTAATTGTTAACAAAAGTCATGACATTATTATTGCACTTGTACTCCGAGTTGTACTCCAACATGGCGGACGTAATGATTGGCCACGCCTACTGCAACCTATCTATAGGCTATCGCCTATATGATAAGACATTCAGATAATCTCACTACTAAGGCTGCGTTTACACGGCAACGAAAACGATGCAATCCGTTCAGTTTTGTGCCTGTTTTATGCTTCTGTTTACACAGAAACGATTGAAAACGTGATAGAATCTTGATAGGACTCTATGGAAACGAAAACGGTGTTCAAAGTGTATCGTTTTAAAAACGATACGTTTTGCGTTGCTGTGTAAACGCAGCCTAAAGCAGCAACATTAAACACTAGTGCTAATAATGCTGTTAGTATATCTCCTCTTTTATATAATTTTACAATGAGCAATGAGATAACAGTACAACATGGTGATATACTGATGATTGAAAGTAATGCTCCAAATTATATGTTCTATCAACAATACAATGGACCACACAATTACAGACTGGGGAACAACAATGAGTTAATTGCATTAGATACCAATGACTATCCACTCATCTCAGTTGTAGTAGGTAAGATTTTATTTGGTAGTAAATTTATTCCCAATATCATATAGAGCCTTTCACAAATACAGCTACTTCAACAATCAGTAGTACACATATTAATACTGTCACTACTGTGCTTTCATCATCAAGCATATACCCCACAGCTACTGTAACAATGGAATCAATGGAGTATACTGAAACTAACTTAACTACATCAATGGCAAGTACAATCAGTACACCAGTTACTACATCTCAAAGTACAGGAAGTAATACACTAATACTAGCAGGAAGTATTAGTGCAGCAGTATTTATATTACTGGTAGTTACTATACTAGTAATATTAATAGTGAGTGTATTAGTGTGTAGGAGAATATGGTATAAAACATCAAATAGAAGTGATACTTTCAGTTCTGATGAAATGAAAACTAAATTAGATCAACAATCATATGGTAATGTTCAGTTAAGTGCACGTGTAAACTAACAATGAAAATCAATTCAATTTATAGTACCAATTATGGATGAAGAACAGAATATATTATCAGCATCATCTAATCCTGCTTATG